AAAAACAGCAAGCAATACAGAACTAAGAAAGCAGAGGTGATTGATAGCGAACAGAGGTGTCAGTAATGGGGTAATACTACCTGTCCAGATATGCAGAGGTCCTTGAAAACAATAGTGCCAATGGCCAGTGTTATGCACTATGGGAAGGTCCAAAGAAGAGACTCTGGGGGTGTACTCAAAGTATAGGCACCATCTTGAATGCACACCTTGATGGCCATGTGCATGGATGGATATAGACCTTGGAATATAATGCAGACCCATGGGAAGTCTTGACGGGCTTATCTCAGGTGAAGACAAAGGATTACCTGGACCAATGAAGGGTCCCAGAGGGTGTAGCATCAGGAGGGGCAGCTTCAGGGGGGCAGAGTCTGGATTTACAATAGTGTTGATGGGATTAGCCAAGTGCTGGATGACTGTTCTGGGCTAGCTGAATGACCACTGATGGTCCTGCCAGGGCAGGTTGAATAGTTTCCCAGGTATAGACAAAAGGTGGGACATGGGTCTTTGATAGTGTCAGGAAGGATCGCTCAATATTTGAATGTATGATTGGTTTATCTCAGTATCCAGAGGGATGGAGCAGGAAAGACAGTTGTGGAGACAAAGGATTCTCACATAGACGTAGGTGCACACAAAAGGGCTAGGTGAAGTTCTGGAGACAGAAGGGCTATTTGCCAGGTGGTCTCTGAATAGCCTTTAGAAATGTAGATACTTTATCTGGTGAAACCCATTGTTATTCCATAATCATACCTCTACTGGGTGGAGGGGGAGGTTGGAGATTGCCTTGGAGGGCTGTCTTGTGGCACCTGAAAATGGAGACCCTTTTTCAAGAGCTTTGGCTTACTCAGTGTTTCAGACTGAAGAGTACCTTTCTTGGCCTGAATTTGTGGGTCTCTGGTTCAGGTTAGAAGTGGGCTGCCCCACTATTTAGGGCTACCCGTGAGTAAGGCAGCGCCTTTGGGCTACAGTATTATCACTGTGAACATTTTAAATTACTTATCTTTTAAAGGCTTATAATTATTGTATACTTGTTCTGTTTTTAATGTTGTGTTTCAGTGGTTTTGTTTTAACTGTAAGCTACCTGGAGAAGGTTTTCAGAGAGGCAGCATATTACTTTTTCTAAATACATAAACAAAAAAATCATTGTTTCAGATGTTATTAATCTGTCTTTGAAACCTGCTAATATATATTTCTTACGACAGGCACTGTAAGCCTGCATTTATTCAGGACTGTAGCTAACCAAACATTATTTGATTGGGTATCAACTCTGTCAACACAACACTATTACGCACATAGATGGTCCATTAAGGCAGTCCCCTGCCTCTGGCTGAATGAGTAGAACAAGCAAATTCCTCATCTCAACTGCTTCATGCCTCTTGGTCATGGTCTTGTCCTGCCACCCATTATGATTTAATTTATACAATTTTTACAGATTTTTTCTGCTCAAAAAAAAAAAAAAGAATATTCTAATTGCCTAATTCTTGTCAGATCAATGTTTCTTAAGAATATGCCTTTTAGTAGAAATGAAGTAAAAGAAAGTAAAAGAAAGTACATTCAAACATATGAAAAAGAAATACTATTACTAAGAACATATATTTAGTCCACAATTCAAGTTCTGTTCCTAAATGTAAATACCCTTACCAGCATACTTAGGATTTGGAATTCACAGATGCACAGATGCTGCAAAAACACCAATGTTTCTTCTGAATTCAGAACCATTAAATTATTGTTCCTTTTACTTGTTGCTAGTAAATTCCTTCCCCTCATGTCATTCCTTTTATCCTCAGTTTAGCATATCTACCCACAACAATCCCTATCCAAACATCACCTCCAGAAGTTGACCATATAAGTTCATTATCTTCTTTCCCTGGGGAGTGTCTCCCTGGAAACCAGATAGTTTCTGAGAAAATCCACATTGCTTTACACAGTAGCAATTTCAATAGAACAACGGTAGGAAGAACATCAGCTTCTGGACAATGGACCAATCCATGGTCTTTTGCTAGCAATCTCTGGACCACAAAAAGGTGATACATTCTTTCAATGTTAAAGGTTACATGAAGCAGAACAAAGGAAGGAGGAAGCAAGTATACACTGATGCTGAAAAACCAGTAAAGCTATTCTGTAAAACATATAGAAGAAAAGAAGTAGTATCATGGTGGAAAAACAGGCTTGCATATTAAGTTCTCAATAAGAGAGCAATTGTGAGGAAGTCTGTTACTGAGATAAGCTTCCTGTCAGCACCCTGTTTAATTCACAAATGAGTATCAGCTAGCCAGTCAGTGAAATGTGCCCAAATACTGCCTGCTTTTCCATACTCACAGGGCCTTGGATCACACTTTGATCCAATCTTCAGTAAGGTGTACCTAAAGAACCCCTAGACCACTGGGTTTCTGATACCCGTAGGTGCCCAGCATAAGATTCAGATTGACTGGTCCCTTCTTTCACTAAGGTTTCTAAGTTTATTACACTGGCTTTTAGGTACAGAACATATATGATCCCTTGGCTTAAAGTCTGTCTATAGATTCCAGGGCATTTGTCATGAAGTAGTTAATTCTGAGTTACACGGGCAGCACGTTGTCATGGCACAGGCAGCATGTTGTCATGAGCTGCTTCAGCGGGAGGGCAGAGTAGAAATTTAATAAATAAATAAATGGTTGAAAACCCTTCCAATACAAGAGACAAAGTATATAGGCTAGAAAATATACCATGTTTTACCTAATGTGAATAATACTGCTATATAGCCCTGTGTCCTATAGTTTTGTGCAGACTGTGTATTTGCCATATCCACAATGGAGGAAAGTATATCCTTGGTCACTGGGATTAGTACATTGAATGCAATTTCCACGGTGACACACATGTTCCTGTCAGATTCATTCTTAGAACATGTCTGTACAACTGTCAAAGAAAGGAGAAAGGAGCTTTGATGGTGAAAAAGTGACAACTTGCTCCTTTATTTTGACTTTCTTTTCTCGTCAAGGTACTTTCCCAAATAATTAACTGGTCAAATATTATTTTCCTTGTCTGGTCTTCATCCGGGGGAAAACTGGCAGCATTTCAGAATAACAACTGAATACAAACATCCTAAAAAGCCTAACTCGTACCACTGAACAAAAGCAGAAGCCATACATTACATCAAGAATGCCTGGAAATAACATGGCTGATTCCGTTTTAAAAGAACCTGTGCAATTGTGACAGGAAGTGGGAAAGAATGGGAGACATTCCTTGACCTTCAGATGGCTTTAAGGGTGAATTCCTAAAACTCTTTCAAAAGCACCTTGCTTAAAACTTAAAAAGCATCTGGGGAAAGAAGGCAATGGAAACTGTTGCTGAAAGAAATGCTGGTGGGCATGCAAATGGTGTATGCTGCAGCCTAGAGTGGAATTCAAAGTGGACACTTGGTGTTCTATAGAAGGAAACACTAGAAAGGGGCCCTTAGAATAAGCAAAGAAATGGAAGTGGCAGTCATGCTCACAAAATTAGACATTGAGTAAAGTTACACTGTCATAAGTACCTTGTTATGCAATCCCAGTCTCAGGTGTTAATTATTTTGGTACTTTGGGGTAGCAAATATTATAATCAAGACTGTAAAAAGAGACTACCAGGTAATTCATGAATGGGGAGCAAGGTTATACTGTAATTTACTCATTTATAATCTTGCAAACTTTATATCAAGTGAAAATAAAACTTAAGAAACATTATTCGCACTATAAGTTTAAGCATCTATTTTTAGAAAAATCCCCAATTTTGACTTGTACATGCAAATGTAAGTCAGCTTTATAGAGTGAATTATTAAAGGACACTGATTTACACCCCTATATATCTGCATTAATATGTCTGCTTTCTATGGCAAAAACTATTTGTCTAATATTACCATAGTATCATGTTCTATAAAGTTCTATTGATGTATCTCTATCATTGTTTCCCCTCCAAAACAGTAATATGTAGGAACAAAAAGTTTTAAGAATCAACTTGTTAGCTACTTAATGATACATAAGTTTTCCCACAGTAATCCTTTCTCTCAGTACAAAGGTTGGCATTAATACTTAAAATCTTTAGAGACAAAACTACACATAATGCTGGAAATTCCGTGTCAGGAGATCCTAAGTATTTTTTCCCTTTTAAATAATAGGCATACAACCCCCCCAGTTCAGATGGGAATCTTAGTATGGAGGAAGGAGGACAGCCAGTTTGGTGTAGTGGTTAAGTGCGTGGACTCTAATCTGGGAGAACCAGGTTTGATTCTCCACTCCTCCACTTGCACCTGCTGGATGACCTTGGGCAAGCCATAGTTCTAGCACAGCTATTCTTGAAAAAGAGCAGTTTCTGTCAGAGCTCTCTCAGCCCCACCTACCTCACAGAGTGTCTGTAGTGGGGAGGGGAAGGGAAAGGCGTTTGTAAGCCGCTCTGAGACTCCCTTAGGTAGTGAAGGGCGGGGTATGAATCCAATCATCTTCTTCTTAACCCTTCCATCTTATACCTTTTTCCCACCTTGAAAAAGCCTACTAGGGCAAATATTCAGACAATGTATGTTTCCTGTAAGTTCTTCTCATGGGGCAAATGACAGCACTGTAGCCTATTAAAGGTCAGGAAAATATTCTAAGACTGAACACTAAACACATTCCCCCATGTTGAACTCCTGATCTCAACTGGTCCCGTGTGCCTATTATTTATAAAGAAAGGAAAAAAGACACCTGAAATCTCTGCATACAGAACTCCCAGAGAACTCCCAAATGTAGTCTGGCTGTAAAAATTAACTGAAATTTAATCTACCCATATTCTATATCTTTTCATTATAAAGAATATTACCAAACATTTAACATATTTTAGAGTATGTGGATGAATGAAGCAGAAAGCACAAAATCATGCAATTGCAACTGCAAGATAATTAAGTGGGGTCAATGAGAATAAAAGCATGTTGTTTTCAGCCTCTAATGAACAAGTGCCGTACACTAGAAATATCCAGAAAGAGAGAGTACATGAAACACCTAAAAATTAATGTGTACCTTTGTTGCAAGTTGCGAAACAGAGGATGAACCTTCATCATGAAGAAATGGATCCTTGCTCTAAAAAAAATATGTAGTCAGCTTTAATACTTTCAGAAAGTTCAGAAAACCCATTATGACTAAGCAGCAATAAGAATGCTAAATAGGTTTTACCAAATTATTTATCATTTATATTTACCTATTTATTTACTGAATGTATACTATGTCTTTCTCATCAAGATTCAAAGCAGATTGATGGTGAACAGTGCCATCATATAACAGCTGACTTATGGCAACCCCTAGGGTTTTCAAGGCAACAGACATTCAGAGGTAGTTTGCCATTGCCCACCTCTGCGTAGCAACCCTAGACCTCCTTAATGGTCTCCCACAAAAGTACTAAACAGGACTGACCCCGCTTAGCTTCTGAGATCAGATTAGCCTGGACAATCGAGGTCAGGGCACAAAGCAGACTGTAAATTGATAACATCCCATAGGAAAAGACATCTAATAAGCACATTGTAGGTGGTTAAGACGCTGAACTGCAGGCTGTGGAAGGTCAGTAGTTCAGCGGTTCAAGACCCGGGTGCCGCAAGACAGGGTGAGCTCCTGTCTCTAGTTCCAGCTCCTGCCAACCTAGCAGTTCGAAAGCAAGAAATTGCAAGTAGATAAATAGGTACCACTTCGGTGGGAAGGTAACAGCGTTCCGTGCGCCTTGGTGTTTAGTCATGCCGGCCACATGACCACGGAAACGTCTTCGGACAGCGCTGGCTCTTCGGCTTTGAAACGGAGATGAGCACCGCAACCCTAGAGTCGGACTCGACTGGCTTTCGAGCAAGGGAACCTTTACCTTTACCTTTAGGTGGGTAAAATCAATGCAAGAAGATGTCTAATGAACAATGTACTGGGCTTACCAAAATATAAATAAGCATAGGGTTGCCAGGTCTCCTCGTCGATCTGGTAGGGGGATTTGGGGGGCATTCCGGGGGTGGGCGGGGACATCCCCAAGCCCCACCCCCAAGCTGTGGCCACCCCTCTTTCTTCCCTCCTGCAAAGATTTAAAGGGCTTCAGTTGATTAGTGGCGAGCACGTGCACCACCGATCAGCTGGTGGGCTCTTTATAACTTTCAGCAGAAAGGTGCGCAGGGCTGATTTCCCAGCAGCAATTTGCCTCTTGGGATTCAGGCCCGTGCCACCGCCCTGCTGGCAATTTGCCACTGGTAAATCAGCCCCACATACCACAGCCCCCACTTCATTTGCAAAAAGACCCTTTAATGTGTCTTTTTGCAAGTGGAGCTGCAGCCAGCAGCAACACCTCTCCCTCCCCAGCTGATCGGCAGGCCATGTGCTCCCTGCTGATCAGCTGAAGCGCTTTAAATATCTGCATGAGGGGAGGGAAGGGGTGGCCATGGCTTGGGGGCAGGGCTTCTCCCCACCAGCCAGCTGGTGGATTGGAGCCCCCAGAAACAGGGGAACCCTCATCCAGACCTGGGGGCTGGCAACCTTAAATAAGCATAGCCATGAGACAGAGTGTGAATATAATAAAGAAAAATGGCACTACTGCAGTAGAAAACAGTGAAACAACATCAGGGCAATATGTGCAGCAAACTGATGTGCCCTATGCTGTGGTATAATCCACAATCAATCAATCAATCAGTTTATTACGGTCAAAGACCCATCAGACAGCATACAGAATCAAAAACAGTCTCCAGATTATCGTAAAACATTACAAAGGGGGGGGGAAACAAACAACCAAAACAAACATCTCAAGGAGTATTAAGGAGATGCTTACGCTTTGTAATTGCAATAAAAAGAAATATAGCAACATTCCTTGAAATAGCTGTGGATTTGTCCTCCAGTAGGTGTTTCAGCAAAAGTTCCTCGGACTGGATTACTAATTGTCCTTGAAATCTAAATGACCTTAATAAAGGCGTAATTAAAAGGGCTCTTTCTTCTGCATAGTGAGAGCAATGGAATAATATATGGGGGAGGGTCTCTATTGACTCGGAAGGGCATGCGCAAAATCTCAGATGTCTGGGGATACGTTGAAATCTTCCGGTATAATCCACAGTCCCCTTCCCTTTACAGAGCACCTTCCTAAACTATTCTGTTACATTATAGCTCCAAAATAGCTCTACTTTATAGAAAACTCTCCTGAACAACTCCACTTTACATAGTATGCAGAATGACAAAAATGTGTGAGCTCTTTGAAACTCCTCAGGTAGGTCTTTCCACAAGGTGGAGGCCAGATGTACAGAAGCACATGTATGGGTGGTTGTTAATCTTGCTTCTTTGCAGGGTGGCACCTGCAGAAGGCCCTGGACAGAGGAGTGGAGCTGAGATGGCAGAACACACGGCGAGAGACAGTCCTGTAGATATGAGTTTCCAAGGCCATGCAGAGCTTTGTATGTGATAGTCAGTACCTTGAACCCGGTAGGTGATGGGCAGCCAGTGGAGTGGCTGCAAAATGGGTATAATGTGCACACTCCATTTAGTTCCCGATAATAGGATAACAGAATGAGCTGTGGCATTCTGTACCAAATAAGGTCTCCAAGTTGACTTCAAAGGCAGGCCCATCACAATAGTCTAGTCTCGATGTTACTTTGGCATGAATCCAGGTGGCTAGATCAACTGAGCCAATGCAGGGAGCCATCTTCCAGGCTTGGAAAAGTTGGAAGAAAGCATTATTTGTTGCTGCATTAACTTACTGTTATGGGCTTTACTTCCCTTACTTTTACTTTCTTTCATAAAGATTCTTGTTCAAATCAGATGCATGACTTATAAGTTAAACTGCAGTTTCTCTTCATTCTCTACCACCCACACAGTAGACTGCTGCCCCTGCGTCAGCAACAGAAACCTGAAGTGTCTCAGGAAAAGAAACAGGGGATACTACACTTGTGGAAATGTGGGAAGGAAGGAAACCACCAGAAAGGACATGATATCACTAAGTTGCCCAAAGTGCCTCTATTAAACCTTCTGACACTATGGTAGCTCCTGAACCCTGTCTGGAAGAAGTGAAGGATACGGTAACTCAGTAGAAACAATGGCTTCAGCAATACTCTGTTTCATACAACAAATATTCCCTAACTTAAGACACTGATGCTCATTGTGTCAGAACCTGTATATCTACAGCAAAAACAATGAGTCTTTTTGCACAGAGATCCACCTTCTCCCTATGGGATCTAGGCTTGCCAAGTCCCCCCGGGGGGCGGGGAAAACCCCACCCGAGAGGCCCGTTATCCACTGCTGGCGGATCGGGCCCCGGGGGGAACCCCACCCCCAAAGCACATGACATGCCCAGGGTCAGCACGTCACCCAAAAGTGATGCAATCACGTCGGGCACGTTGGGGGCGGGGCCACAATCATCCGAGGGAAAACTCTATGGTTTTCCATGGACTCCCGGAACAAGACGGGACTCCCCCGCTCTGCAACAGGTGAGGACTTGGCAGCCCTAATGGGATCCCTATCAGACCTAGGTTATGAAACATGACGAAAGCAGTACACATTTCAACTGATGGTCAGCATGACCAAGAAACACATTACAAATTGGTGTTTATAAATATAGTATGCATATACATTTGTGTAATGCATTTTATTCTTAGTTCCCATTATTCCTATAATGAAAATAAAAAACAAGATATGTTTACTAAAATATACCACAATTGTGGTTAAAACTGAAAGCACTAAACACCATTCAAAACAGGAAGATCTTAGAGAGATTCTAAAGGATGCTTCCTTGGAACAATGTGTTTCTTGGAGCAATCGACCAGAAAATCTTTCCATGCACACACAGGTTCAGCACATTGATGGTGTAGTCAAGAGGAAGTTCTCCTGTACCCTCACATGACCACCTTTCCCCCATATCTTGGCATCCTCTTAACTAAACATGTTGCAGAAACAGGTTAAATCAGTCTTTTAAATACACACAACTGATTGCCTGTGGTGAGTCAGTGGAGCTTCCAGGTAGCCCAGCATGGAACCTGCCACATAGAAAGTGATCAAGAGTTGCAGGATAAAATTTTATTTTGTCAATTAGAAGAGAGATCATTCTTTTATTCTTTCAGGCTAGCAGTAAACTACAATGACTAATATAGACATGTGTGGGTAGGTGAGATGTTAACTAAATTGTGTGGGCAAGATACATTTGTGAGCCTATTTGCAAGAATCTTTAAGTTTCCAATGACAATGGAAGAAATGTTCTTATATATTAAAAAATGCACACTACACTGTGAAAAATGTGACACGTACACACACCCTCCTCCCCCCCAAAAAACCTGAGTTCAGATGTAGCTTATATTTTGGTTGCAATTCACATGCCTCTAGAACTTCTATTTATCTTCATAATATAAAATAGGTATAACTGTAAGAATCAATCCCAGTGCCAATTTCCTCTTGTTATTTTTGGAATAAAATATGAAAGCAGAATAATTGTTCCTGATTTAATAGATGCATAATGGGGAAAACAGAAAAAGAAATCTACCACCTCTGCATAATCTACTACCTACACCTTAAATTGGTGGCCTGAGGGATGCAATATAGAATACAGCCATGGCCACCACACTATTGACCTACTGTGTAGTAGACTACCTTTAGACTACAATTACGATCAGCCAAGCTGTTTGATCTGATGTTGTTGTTGTTGCCCTGCAAATTTAAAATGCAGGTTCAGACAGCAACTGTCTCCCGTTCCCCAGTTGTCAGCACCCCATTCTCAAATTCAAGGAAGAAAACCCTCTCTGTACTGGCTAAGCTTGCCCAACAAAGCAAATACATGGTTATATGCATGAGCAAAAAACAGGTTAAAAATAGCTGTCCAACTTCCCACGTAGCTGCTGTGCAGCAGTAATCTGATTGATTAACCATGGGGTAAGTGTGTGGTGAAGCGGATTAGGGTGGGATGTCTTACCAAAACTCTCAGTTACCAAAAAACACTAATGAAATTAGAAGCACAGCCAAGCCATGCTAAACCTGTTGTCTGACCACAGCCCATCACTAGATTCTTAACACTTCAACGAATACAATCAGTATGCAGATTAAATTAACAATGTGTTCAATATTCAGAAGCATGGGTAGGATATGATCAG